TATGTGCAGGATATGGAGAGATTCAATTTTATTACCAAAAAGCTGCATTAGATGCTTTCAAACTAAACATTTATTGGTGCAAATCGGTAAGCAGGTGGTCTAGTTTAAGCTGTAGTTTATAAGTGAGGGGGAAGTACCACGTATGAGAGGGAAGTACCACGCCTTATAGTCTAATTTTCCCCATCTCCGCGTTAAAAATTGTACAGATAACTTTTTTTTTTCAATTTCCTTCTTTAGGGTTGGTGCGAACCACTGTCAGTCAGGGCCAGTGATTCGTAAAGCGGTAAAGGTTAAGCAGCTATGCACACAAAACAATTATGTTCAACTCTTTGCAGAAGTGATAACGGTTTGTAAAAGCATAGGCAGATGAGCTGAGGGACTACAAAAGCCGCGGGGAAAGTGCTAATATGCCTCTCCGGAAGAGAAGGGATGTCAGGAGCAGCAGCAGCAGCAGCGCCCGATCATCAGATGTTATAGCTTTGATCGCAAAAGTGGAAAAATCGCGAATCAGATCAGATCGACTGTATTGCATCCAGGCTGCTGGACTAGGCATGTCTTCTGGCTGCGAAATATGCATTCCCGGAAGAGCAAATGGTACCCAAGAAATGAACGGACAGAGCGAAATACAACAAATAAAAAGCAATACTGTTTTGCTGGCGAGATGATCGGGTATGCAGGGTAACATGCTTGACGAACGGACGCTAGCACCAGCACGAGCCCTCTTCGGTCTCGATCTTGCGCGGTTTAATTGGACCAATTTCGATCACCGGATCTACAATATTTTTAAAATATCTTAGCTTTGGCACATTTCTTTACTGCATTTTCTCCAGAATTCCGCCTTTTAAATGGTCCTTCTGCGATTTGTTCCAATGGTAATTTTGAAGAAACAAATTCATGTAAAATAAATCATAACAATTTTGTCTCCGATGTGAAAAGTTATGAAATTATTTGATACCTCAAAAATTGGGTGCAGCCATTTTAAACAAATTTTACTTAGGGACAGAATTTTCACTCTTCCAAAGAGAAGACAGCAGTTTCGCGTTTAGTTT